GGGCCGGAGTCCCAGCAAGACACAGGCCGCCCAGGGCCGGAGTCCCAGCAAGACACAGGCCGCCCAGGGCCGGAGTCCCAGCAAGTCAGAGGCTGCCCAGGACCAGGGACGGAGTCCCAGCAAGTCAGAGGCCGCCCAGGACCAGAGCCGGAGTCCCAGCAAGACACAGGTCGCTCGGGACCGGGGTCCTAGTAAAACAGAGGCCGCCCAGGACCAGAGTCCCAGCAAGACACAGGCCGCCCTGGGCCGGAGTCCCAGCAAGACAGAGACTTCCCAGGACCAGAGTCCCAGCAAGACACAGGCTGCCTGTGGCCAGAGTCCCAGCAAGACACAGGCCACTCGGGGCAAAATTCGGAGGTTCCACAAGACCAAGGTGACCCAGGGTTCAAGGCAGAGGTTCAGAAAGGCCAAGGTTGCCCAAACAATGGGTTCAGGCTGGGGACTAATCCGAAGTTCTAGCAAGACCGAGGCTTTTGATGACTCAAGTCAGAGCCCCAGCAACACTGAACTCACCCAGGGCCTATGCCAGACCCCCAGTAAGGTCACAGATGCCCAGACCCAGACGCAAAGCTCAAGCCCATATTCTAGCAACAGCGAAGTCCCCCAGGACCTGAGCCAGAACCCCAGCAGCATCAAGGTCAACCAGGACTCCAGCTTGAGCAGTCACACTTCCATCTGACAGCGCCACCGAGGCCCCTTGCTTCTTCCTGGGGATTCGGCCCTGATGAACACGGGCAAAGCAGTTGCCTTTGGAACAATTAGAAACCTCAGCCAATATCCTTCTGGTCCCATGGCTACGTTTATTGTGTTTGTTCTCTTCTTTTACAAAATTAAAAACTTTAAAAACCAGGTCCTCACTTCATGGAGACCAAGAAGTCTCAGCCTGGCTTGGCACTGCTGGGATTTAAGGGGTGCGGGGTGGGGGTTGGGGGGGGGGTGGTAGAGTAAGGTGCCAGGGTAACAGGCTGAGGAGGAATGCGGCAGCCATGGGCCACAGTCCCTGAGTTACAATTCACATTTTAAACAGGCCAGAGGGCAAGGTCAGAGCTCAAAGAGGTTCTGGGGTGGTCAGAGGATCCCCTGGAGAAGGAAGCGCAGGCCAGAACGCAGCCCTCACACCAGCTAAGCGGCCAAGATCCGCCCCGGCACTGTGTCCGCGGCCCAGCCGCACCGCCTCATCGGCGCTCGTGTCGGGGTCCTGCCGCTCAGGAGGCTCAGCGCAGGGCCCCTCCGCAGCCTTGGAGAGCAGCCCAGGCAGAGGGCCCAGGGTGCCGCCGGGACATCAGAGGAAGAAGGCAATTCGGGAAGCCACCATCTTGCAGCCGTTGGAGGAGAAGAGCTGCTCGTCCTCTGGGAAGAAGGTGGTGCTGTCCAGCACAGCCTGGATGACCTCGTCCCTTGGCTCCAGGTCCAGCTGGGCCAGCTCATTGAGCACGCAGTGCCGCAGGTGGTGCCGCTGGAGTGGTAGGAAGGGCACCAGGGCATCCAGAAGATGCTCCTCCATGATGCCTGAGCCCCAAAAGCCATCTGTGGGGTGGGGGGAGAGAAAGCCTGCTTTGTAAGCCTGGAGAAGTGGGGCCCTGGGTCCTGTCCCCAAAGGGCAGAATCCTCTCAGCCACCAGCCTTGGGGTTTGGGGAAGCTGAGTGACAGCAGGAGCTGGGTAGGTCGGGTCAGTGGGCAGATGCCAGAGCCCCGGGCCTCCTCGGGGAGCCTGGCCCAGGCACCTGGGAGTGGAGCGAGGCCTTGTCAAGGTGGTGGATGCGCGTGCGTGCTGGGGAGTGGGGGTGCTCCTGAGTGGAACTCACGGTGCGGGCTGTCGAGCACAGCTTGGGTGATGAGCGGCTCCAGCTCCTGCAGGCGGATCTCCTCCCGCTCCCGGTGGCTCCGCCATGCCTCCAGCGCCACCCGATTGATCTGCTCACCGCCAGTGTTGCTAAAACCGCGGGGGCCGGGCCGGGACTCAGTGGGGTCAGGATCTGGCCCACACTTCCCGGATGCTGCCTAATGCAGCCCGAGCCGAGGGGCTCGGCTCAGGGTGGAAGGGCCGAATGCACTGAAAGCACTTCTCTGCCCCAGAGCTGTGCCCACCACCCTGAGCCCTGGGCAGTCACCTAGACGTGCCATGCACTTTACAGCTCACCAAACACCCTCAAGTCCCTTACCTGACTTTCCCTCACCCAGCCTCTAGGAGGACAGAGGGCCCTGCTGTTGAGGACAGTCATGTTCAGAGAGGGGAAGTGATTTGCTGGAGCAAACCAGGTGGGACTCGGAACTGGGGCTAGCACCGTGGTCTGGTGGCTCCCAGGCCTTTGTCCTTCTGGCCACAGAGGATGAAAGACTCCTGACCCGGCAGGGCCTTCATAAGTAAACAATGTGGCTTTAAGAATGCCCAGGGAGAGTCGGCCATCTGGAACGAGTGTCACCAGTGAGCACGGGGAGGGCTCTGGGAAAACCCGAGGCCTCGGGGCAGGGGGGCGCTCTGCTGTAGGAACCTAAGCCATGAACTCACGCCTCTTGACAAGTGTCTCATCATGCCTGCTGCAAAGCCGGGCCCACCTGATGAAGATGAAGATGGCTTTGCGATAGTTGGTCCCGTACACAACCCAGGAGGAGCCCAGGAAAGGCCGCAGGACCTCCATCAGGCCTGGGGCCAGCTCGTCCATCTCATCGAAGAGGAAGAGGGAGCGGCCGCAGACAGTGAGGTTCCCCTGAACCCAGCTCTTAAGATCCTTCTGCGGGGGAGAGGCAGGAGTTCGAGGGGGCCTGGAGATTGCCCCCAAGCCCAGACTTCTTCCTAGGGTAGATATGGAGTCCCAAAGAGCACCAGTCACTTACTGGTGGCCCTGAGAAGGGCAGAGACTTGTCTGGCTCACACAGCAGTCAGAGAAGAGGGACTCAAACCCCACCCCCTACTGCTTTCTAGACGGGGCAGCTGCTCCTGGCTCTCGGAGCCCCCTCAACAGAGCTGACAGCTGAAACCGATCAGCCTGGAACCTTGCAGTCAACAACAAAAGTATTTGAGTGCTTACTCTGGAGTCACACATCTGGACCAGGCTCTTTACAGATGGCCCTCCCTGGTGGCTCAGCGGGTTAAAGCGCAGCACTATGGTATGAAGCTAGTTAGCTGTAGCTGCTTAAGCACGAGTTCGATCCCCTGCCAGGGAGCTGACCTACGTGGCGCAGCAGACCTCTCCTGTCTCGCCCACTGCTTCCCTCATCAACCTGCCTGTTCTGCTCCCCACTCTGTCTCTGGTGAATCCTCTCACAGCCCCTGCACCTCTGACCTGCACCCCAGTTCTGTATGCATAAATAAATACACCTTAAAAATTTTTTCTTACAGAGAGAAGCTAATGCAGACAGTCTGATAAAATTAAGTGCTCAACAGACAATTCTGCAAGCTCATATTCTTCACAGCAACCTTGGCAGGTCCAAAACCTCGACTGCCTGCCCCTCAGGAATTCAGGAGAAAACTCCCTGCCAGTTAGAGGCGCTTAGTGCGAGGTGGGTCATGAGGTGCCCACTGGCTGTGTGGCCTGAAGCAAGCGACTCCCCTTCTTTGGGCTCAGGACTCACTCCCTAGGGTCTAGCATCCCAGGGCCAGGACACAAGCAGCCTACCTTGTAGCGATCCATGTGGCCGGGGTGGGGGAAGTGGATGCCAGGGGAAAAGTGGTGCACATGCGGGCTGTGGAGGCCGCCCAGGAAGAGGTAGTGTGCCAGCAGGGAGCTGACGTAGGACTTGCCGGTGCCTTTCCAGCCGTGGAAGGAGAGGACCAGCGGCTTGGTGGGAGCAGGGTCCTGCAGGAAGGCCTTCAGTGCCTTCACCACCAGCGTCCTGGCCAAGTGCTGGCCGGCCAGGTGCTGGGCCAGGTCACACTCCAGACCTAGGACCAGAAGGACACAGTCAGAGCAGGAGAGGTTCAGGGAAGAAGTCGCGTCGGGAACCTGCTTTAGGGATGCTTGTGCTCGGACGTTTTTAGAAGCTGGCTGTGGAAAGGAAGGGGGGGCCTGGGGTTGCCCTGGACACCCTCCGACCTGACCCCGCTCGGCAGCGCCCCACCAGGCAGCCGTCTGTACTGCGCTCAGTCCAAAGTGGGCGCGACCTGTCACCGGTCCTGGGTCCTGACAGCTGCCCATGCCCCAGGCTTCCTCTTCGACGGCCAGTCCACTGTGGAGACCCAGACTCCCCCAGCCCCGCCCCTCGGCCTTGCTGTCACAGGCCTTCCTCCATCCTGGCAGGACTCTGGACCCCAGGCAGCCCCAATCCTGGCCCCAAGTTCCGTGCCCCAGGTTCCCAGGATCTCTCACTGCCAGGCCACTTCCGGCCCCGCGGCCCGCGGCCCGGAAGTCGGGGGGTCCCGCCTCTCGGTTCTACCCTCCAGGACCGGCCCGACGCGACCCGGGCGTCCGAGGGCTCCCACGGCTTTTCTCACCCTGCAAGTCGGGCCGGAAGTCACATTCGCAGAAAGTACCGAAGCTGCAGCGCAACGAAGTCATGTCCCACGAGGCAGCCGTGGCTGCGGCGGAGACCAGCCCGAGCAGCCCAAGGAGGGGGCCCCAGGGCCGGCAGCCGCGCGCCGCAGCCGCCATCCGTGTTAGGCCCGAGCTCTGTCTGGGGCTGCCAGCAGCCTCGCTGGGAACTACAATTCCCAGAGTGCATCACTCCGCAGGACTACAACTCCCGGCTTCCCGCTCTTTCCGCTCAAGGCCCGCCCTGTCGTCCTCCCGCAGGACCAGATGATGACCGACAGGTGGAGCCCGTGGACCGCCCAACCCAGAACGGTGGGTCGCGTTTCCATAGTCACGGTAACCAGGGGACCGTCCTCATATAATAGCTCAGAAAGAATAATGAAGGCTTATGATTGCAAAGAGTGACGTAACAATTGAAGCAAAAACTTGCTTGGCACTTTACATCTTGCAATGCGCCCTTTCCGTGCTCTTTTTGTTTTTCACACGACGAAAGAGCGCGCACTCCTAGCTTTCGGTGAGTGCCATTTTAGGTACCCCGATAGGTGCCTTACATATCTTAATAACAGCACCTGTCACACAGAGAAATGGCGATATTTCAGTGAGGCACAAACACACGAACTGTTTTGGTTCAGAAAATAATCCCTGGTGGCACAACAAGTTAAAGCGCAGCACTGTGAAGTTACCGCAACCACTGCAGCACAAATTCGAGCCCCTAGGAGTGACCCACATGGCGCAGCAGACCTCTCCTGTCTCCCCGCTGCTCCCCTCAGCAGTGTGTTTCAGTTAGTGTGCAGGTTCTGTTTCCCGCTCTGTCTCTGGGGAATTCTCTCTCTCTCTCTCTCTCTCTCTTTCTCTCTCTCTCTCTTTCTCTCTCTCTCTCTTTCTCTCTCTCTCTCTTTCTCTCTCTCTCTCTCTCACACACACACACACACACCATCTCTGGCCTACACTCCAGTTCTTATGTGTATAACTAAAGCTTTAAAAAGAAAATAACCAATGATCGTTGGCCCATTATGTATGGAGCACAGTGGTCCCTTATCTAGCAGTTACTATGTGCTAGGTGCTTGACAGCAATCCAAGTGCTCTGTTTGGCTGTTGTCCCCTTTTATTGAGGAAATTGGGACCTAAGAGGCTAAGTCCCAAGGTCACCCAGCACTTAACCCAAGTCTGTGCTGCCCAGAATCTAATGTACTGTTACCCAGTACCCCTCTCGGTCGAAGGCATCCAAAAGCAGAGGATCCCAGACATTTCAAGTTCCGTGAACAGCCTGTCTAGAACTGCCTACCTTCCCCGCCTGTGGGATCCAGACAACTTGTCTTCATGGCTCTCCTCAATGATGTTGTGCCCCACCACACACAGACTTCTAGGGACATATTTCAAAGTCTACATCCACTCAGGACATGTAGTCTCCCTCATTCTGCTGCTGTGGCCCAGGAAATGTCCCTTTTCCCTTTAGCTTGTCCCCAGCAGTCAGATTCCTAGATTTCAAAAAGCCCTTCCACCCTGTATGCATTTGTGGGAAACTTGGACCTGGCTTTCCAGGACAGGGAATGGGGGAGGAACACAAGAAGGCATTGTATTCAGATGTTAGCTCCTTCCGGGCAGGGCCTGAGGGCCTATGGCTTTAACTCTCACTCCTGGTACAGTCTGGGGTGTCCCAAGGACTTTCATCAAGAAAGGATGTTTCCTTCTACCTCAGGACCCCAAGAGGCAGAAGAAAGAGTCATAAAAGTTTATTATATGAAAGAAAGAACATGGCTTCTGTACATATATTTACAGGATGGACAGACTTATTTACAGTCAGAGGGAAACCTTGGTGTCAGTGGGGAGCTGACGTCTGGAGGGCAATGCCAATATGTGAGGAGCCTCCCACGGCGTCTACACAGGACACCGCAGCAGGAGGGAGAGCAGCAGAAGTTGGAGAGAGGAATGGAGGTTCCGGTTCTTCCTGATGGGATTCTCGGTGAGTGTGTGGTGGGTGGGTCGGAGCCCAGAGTCCACGCAGAACGCTGGAGCTGGCAGGGAAATCCTGGAGTTGAATCCAGAACATTCTCGGGCTGATCACAGTGTCCCTGGGGTGCTCCGGGAAAAGCTCGGTGACCCTCTATCCCTGTTACAGCCGGTAGCTGCAGAGGGGAAGGGTCCCCAGGGGTCACAGCTCGCTGGAGCGGACGGCAGGCTCCAGTTTGTGCGACAAGGCGGTGAGGACCTTGTCAAACTTCTCATAGCGCCGGGCCTGGCTGCTGCCGGCACCCTGACTGCCCCAGAGGAGGCGCATCTGGAACTCTGTGCTGAACACCTCCAGCAGCTCCGGTCGGGCCTGGAACCCTGTGGGGCGGGGTAGAGCGGTCAGAGGACCCCTCCAGAGGGCCAGGCTGGTTCTCCTGCCCAGAGCAATCCCTGGGGACAGCCCCCACCCACCTGTGCCAGGGATCGACAAGGTGTATTGATGACCGGGGCTGTGCAGGTTGATAACTAGTCTTTCCTGCTATTTGCAACATACCAGTTTCAAATGACTCGAAGTAAAAGTATGCATGCTAAATTGAGGGAATGGGTACAACTGGGGTGATTTTTATTCACATTTTTCCTATGAAACATACATTTTCTAAGAAGATGTCAAAAAAAATTTTTTTTTCTTCCTTTCTGAAAAAGAAAGCCCTGGAAAGACACGATGAGACTGTTCATCGTACTCAGTGCTGGGGGCTTGTGGGCACTTTTTTTTTTTAACCTGGTTTTGCTGTAATTTTCCATTTGTCCACTGCGGACTTTTATGACAAATAATACCTAAAGCAGTGGAAGATGGATTGTCTGAAGCTGTTTTGTCTTGGCTGCTTTTGCTGCTCTCACAAAATGGAGTTGTACCTTTGACTAGACTGTGAGCCCCTTGAAGGCAGGGCAGGTCTGTCTCAGCCCCGGGGCCAGAGGCCAAGTGCATTGCAAACTACTAAGGTAGGCTGGTAGAATACCCATTTTACAGATGGGAGAACTGAGGCCCCGAGAAGCAATGGCCCTCAGCTCTGGTGCGCTTTGAAGCATCTGTGTCCTGTTCCCACACACACCTGGTGCCTGCCACAGTTGCTTGTTGAGCTGATGAGCAAAGAAGCAAAGGGAATAAGAAAAAAGAATTGGGGAGCTCGGATAGGGAAGAGGGACGGAGAGGTGTGAATGGGCGTTTGGAGGAGAGGGGAGAGCGACTTGGCTGGAAGGAGGCCGCCCGCAGGACCGGTGACCAGCTCACTGCTCAGATGGATGCCTCGGGGACTCACCCTGCAGCTTGACCTCGGCATTGGTGTGGTACAGGCCTCCGTGGTGTGCCACTGTGCGGGCAGCCTCCAGGTGGGCCAGCACCACCTCCACCCCGTGTTCTGTGCTGCCCCAGGGCTCAGGGCCCTCAGCTGGGGCTGAGTCACACTCCAGCAGAGTGATGAGCGGCAGCACGTGCGGGAACGTGGTGTTGCTCAGTGGCGGGCCTTCTGCGGGGAGGAAGACAGCAGAGACTTGGAGACCTGCAGGCCCTGCATCCCATGCAGCTCCAGAAACGGAAGGTGGGTGGTGGGGAGGGGGCCTGCCTGAGATCCTGGAGATCCCCCAGGACAAAAGCTTTCTTGGGATTCCTCTGGCTGAACTCCCTGAAGCCCTGGCCCAACCCGAGGGCCAGGGCCCAGATGAGGCGCATGCCCAGTTCCGGAAGTGAGCACAAGGTGAAGGGCTTGGCCCCAGCTCTGCTGTGCTCTCCTCATTCTCCACACACAGAGGGATTCTGCCGTGCCAAAGTGGACTGGAACTTGCCCCGGGTCACACAGCAAAGGTTGGGGGGGGGGCGGGGAGGAGGAGAGTACCTTTGCCCTCATTGAGGCTCTTGAGAAACGGCTTGAGCTTCTTCTCATAGAGGATGGCGCCCTCTGTGTGTCGCTGCCGCAGGGTCATCCAGGTCTGCTCCAGCCGGGCAATCTGCAGAGAGCAGACCATGAGGGCAGCCAGGGAAGGGGTCTGCAGGGCCACAGGTCACCTCGCGACACCCAGGTAGGGGCTGATAACTGTGATGTTCACCATGCACGGACCAGGGGCAGCGGGGGCTGGTGGTCACGATCCCCAGGAGCTCTCGATGACCCATTTTACAGATTAGGGAACTGAGGCCAAGAGAGAGTCGTTCCAAAAATAAGTGGCAGGGTTAGGAGTCAAACCATTGCCTCTGGGATTCTGGGGTACCGCTTAGGAAGCAGATGTGGGCGAGGCCCAGGCTCTGCAGTCAGGCCTGGTTCCATTTCCAGCTCCTTCTGCCCCTGACTGTGTGGGCTGCTGTGCCTCGATTTTTTTCCGTAAGTGAAGTGGGAACAATAAAGGCACGACTTCATGAGATTGCTTGGAGGAGTCAGTGCTTGTAAAGTATCCTTGTGAGGTGGTGCTTGCTAGGTGCCATGAAATGATAGCCTTAAACTATTCACATTAGCTTGGGGGCGGGGAGGGAAGCCCAGAGAAGGGGTAAGACTTGGTCTCAGAAAATGTCAGCCTTTAGCAAGCTCAGTTCTAGTTATCCTTCCCCCCTAATGCCCCAGAGTCACAATTCCCAATTCCACACACAGCCACCCCGAAGAAATGCATCCCAGGGCTGTTCCAGAGACTACCTGATGGCTGGCTCTCCCTGGACCCGTCAGTACCTGGGCCATGTCCAATGCGCCCATCACCGCAGCGAAGCTGAACATGTTGCCCATGGGTCCCCGAAGTTCGGCTGCCAGCTGGATGGTCTTATGCAGAAGCGCCGCCCGTTCCTCGGCAGAGCCGGTGCAGCCCAGGATGTCCACGGCCAGCATGATGGACATGGTGTGGAACCTGTCAGAGACGCCAGGTCAGAGGGGCGGTGCGGAGGACCCGAGGACCGGGAGAGGAGAGGTGGGGGCGGAAGCAAAAGCGAGAGGTTGTAAAGGATGGAGATTAGGGGGCGCGGCCAGAGGGAAATTACGGCTCTGATTGGCCAATGTAAATAAGAGGCGGGGCAAAAGCCGAGATAAAGGGCCTGTCTTCGCGAAACCCGGATTACTAGCTGTCTACTGAGAAGTTGTGATTGGTCAACGGACAGGGGCGTGGCCAGAGCCCCTGGGAACCGGGCTGAGACCGTGATTGGCCAACTGGCCGCCGGCAAAAGAGGAGCGAAGTAGCCCTGGGGCTTCGTTGCCAGTCGCCGTGTGCGGGTGCTGGCCTCACCTTTCCAGCAGGTCTAGTCGTAGCTGCCGGCCATGGGGGAGGGTGAGCAGCTCCATGCCCCAGCGGACTCCCATTAGGGTCTGCATCTCCTTGGTAACGCCCAGTATCCTAGCAACCTGCAAGGACGCCCAGAAGGCTGATTAATTTCCTGTCGCGGTTGGCCCAAGCCATCTGGGAGTCAGAGAGCTTTATCTCCTAGGGTAACTTGACTAGGAGGCCGGGTTGAGCTCCAGCCCTCCAGCTAACCCTCTGACATGAAGCAAATGAGCCTTATCTTTCCATCTGTAAAATGGGGAATAAGTGGGAAAGTGCCCAGAGGTGCCTGACATGTTAAATATTCTGTGACAGCTAAGGACCAGACATCCTTATTCCAAAGGCAAGTCTAAGAACCAGGGAAAGGACTTGACCAAGGTCACACACACAGCTGAGAACCCAGATTGTTCCCTCCAGGCCTACTGCTCCTCAAAGAGCAACATCTCTGCCTTTGTTTTTTCCCTGAGCTCAGAGACCAAACTTTAGAGTGAGAAACTGTGGCACAGAGGATGCTGGGGTCCTTAGATGGTCAAATTCAAAGCATGAGTCCAGTTTTGACAATCGGGATTTTTGCTGATCTTGTCCACCAGAGGGCGTGGGGTCAGGAGTGGGGTCATTTGTATTCCTTGGCCCAGCCTGGCTTACTTTCCCCAGGTTCAAAAGTGCCCCAGTGAGCAGAACACCACCGGTTTCAGGCCTGCTGTGTTCTAGTGCAGATAGAAACAAGACTCTTGATTTTTGCTTTTTAGAAAAGGGAAAATGGAGACCCAGAGAGGCAAAGTGACCTGGTTAGGTCACACAGCAAGTGAACAAGAGCCATGATGTCAGAGTCCAGGTCACCATTCTTGGGGAGTTCATCTCCTTACCACCCTGACCCTTGTCCCAAAAGCAGATGACAGAGGCTCTTCCCCTACCCCCATGTGCACCCAGCACCTACCAGGCAGTCAACCTTGGTGACATGCCGGGCCAGCGTCCGGGCATCTACTTCCGCCAGCAGCGCCTTGACCTTGCGCAGGAGGCCCACTTCCAGGGGCCGGTTATCCTTGGGGATCAGGAGTGACTGGAAGGTGGCCAGGTTGAAGGAAGAGGTGGCTTCCACAACAGGGACTGTGAAGGACCTGCCCCAGTCCCCTTTGGGGGTCCCATTTTCTGACAGTTCCTTTAGCCTCTCCCCGTAGCTCCCAGTCTGCCGGCTGGAGGCCTCAGAGGCTGACCACTCACGACTGCCACGGACAGGAGGCTGGAGCTGGCAGTAATGGCCAGAGTCCGGGTCACTGTAGCTGCTGAGTGATGGTGAGGGGGAGGCCTTGGAAAGGGTGTGGGAAGGACTGGAGTAGAGGCCCTTGTCCGACTCCCCAGAAGGCTTTGAGGCACTGCCAGAACACAGCTGAGGTTCGCTGGACCGGCGAGTGGCGGGGGAGGCAGGCAATGCTGTGGCAGAGGGGGCGGCAGGGGCGGCGTGGACGCGGGTCACTGCAGGGAGAGAGGGAGAAGGTGGTTACCGCAGCTCCCACCCAGAGGGGTTCCCCTGCCTCTTCCCAAAGGCCAGGCTCCAGCCACCCACAGTGTCACCCTCCCACCACCCAGCACCCAGACAGGCCCAGCAGACTGGGAAACCTCCCGGCCCTCAGCACTGCTCTGAAATCACCTGGACCCTGGCTCTGCACATCGCTGCCCTCTCGGGAGCCACTGAGCTATGAGGAGGAGCCTTTAGCCATTCGGGGAAGCTGGGCACCTGCTGGAATTCATTGTGCCACATGGAAGTCCCTTGTCACGAATTAGTAATAACCTCTTATTGAGCACGCACGTGCCACGAGCTGGGACAGGCTGGAACTACACCGGTCAGCAACAGTGAGCACGTGGTCCGCCCCTGAAGCTGATGTTTATTGAGCTCTGACGGCTGAAGAGCCTTCTTTGTACACTAACGCCTGCAACCCTCTCACGTCTTGCGAAGTAAGAACTTGTATGGCCCTCACTCTAGAGATGAGAAAATGGAGGCTCAGAGACTGACCTGCCCAGGGTCATCCAGCCAGCAAGTGGTGGATGTGGGGGTGAAAGTCTGGCGTTGAAGGCCTGCTTTACTCCCTTAGGACTTAGAAATTGACCGAGAAATCATTCCTGGTGTGTAACTGAGTATAAGCTCACACTCAGGGTGTTGTCCTGAAGACATGCCCGCAGTTATGACAAATTGGGGACCCTGTGTTTGGGGCAGGATTTGGGGTGTGCAGACAGCAGCATAGCGAGGGGTAGCTCCCAGCGCCCCTCTCCTTTCCTGCCCTGTGTGCATTATGGCCTGTGGAAAACATGACTTCTTTTCTTTCAGAAAAGAATGAGAGGCATGTTTCTGCAACTAAAATTTTCTTTGTATTAAAAATAAAAAAGTAGAGTAGAGGGCTGCATACTTTCTGCTCAGTTTTGTTGTGAACTAAAATGGCTCTAAAAAATAGGCTCCTTAGAAGAAAAAAGGGGGAAAGTGCAGCATTTCTGGCCTGCTCTGGGTTGGCTATCGGAATCGGGAAGCTGTAAGTCGCAGCTGAAGCGCCCTCCTCAAGCTCAGCACCGGCCCCGGGGGCTGAGAGTGGCTGCATCACCACACTGTGCAGGACTGAGGCCAGGCCCCACCACAGGGAGCAGATTCCCTGCGTTCTGGAGAATGTGCTAGAAACCCTGCATGCACAGTGCCTGGTGCCCACGAGGGGCTCAGTGAATGGCCACTGAATGAGCAAGCTGTGGAAATGCTCTGTATGGCAAGCAGCATTGGTAGTTCAGCTGCAGACTTTTCGTCAATTCTTGCAGGGATTACCCTCAGAAATGGAGTAGAAACACATCTGGTCACACGCCGTAACAGAAGCCATCAAAGACAGACAGTGCACACATGCATACACAAGGTCGCCCCCCCCAGACCTCCCCGTGGCCCCCACCCCTTCTTCTGCCCATACCAGTACTGTAGGCAGGGGAGCTGGGGCTCTCGGAGATGGGGGACATGGGCGAGTGCAGGTCTGGGATCTGGTCCATGCTGAGGGCACAGTTGCGGATGGATTCCCGGGGGTGGGGCAGCGATGCGCTGTGGAGCAGACGCCTTCATCAGCAGACAGCCCAGAGGTCAGGTCCTCAGCCGGCCTAGGACCCACACCTCTGCCTCCCTTCTAGATCCACTGAACTTCAGAGGCAGGAAAGGCATGGGGCTCACTAGTCCAGCCTCCCCAAGCACAAAGACTGAACCCCAGAAGAGGAAGGGCTTGTGCAGTCCACAACTGCTCTTTCTTGGCGCCAGGCCCCCAACCTGAAGAATGGTGTGGGGAGAGGCCCTAGCAGGAAAGGTGGAGAGGCAGCAGGAAGCCCCGCCCACCAGCCCCGCCCACCAGCCGCCCCAGGCCCAGGAGGCCTGAGCCTCCGGCCTGTGGATAGTGGCACCGTTCCAATCACGGTTCTACACCACAGGCCAAGTGGCTGGTCTCCAGCCACACACTCCTGGGCTACCGGCACCGAGCACAGACAGGGAGGTGGCACCTTGAGGGCCGCTCCAAGTGCTGGTGACACAGGCTGGCAGGTGTCTTTGCCAACAGGAAGGTCACAGAATTAGGAGCACAGACTTCAGAGCTGGCGCCAAGACTTGAATCTTGGCCCTACCATTCTCTGACAAGTGTTTTCCCCTCCGAGCCTATTCCCTCATCTAAAAAGTGGGGTTATGGGCAGGAGCCCCCGCTAAGGGGGATGTGGTGGGAGTGATGAGACTGAGCACAGCGTTTGGCACAGCCGCTCCCAGGGGCAGGAGAACACCCAGGGCTCCCCTAGGCCGCAGGGCCTATTCGAGCAAGGTCCTTCCTCAGTGGGTTGGCACTTGCAGCGAGAGATGAGTGGCAGGGCTGAGGGCGCACAGCTAGTCCGAGCGGAGCTGGGGTGCGCCCCCTGCCCCCCACCCGACCGTCCTCCTGCTCTCCCTGCTGGCTGAGGCTCGATAGAGCCCGGTTTGCAGTGACCAGGCCTCTTCCTTCTGCCAGCACCATCATCACTGACACTGCACAGGGGGCCACGCGTGGCCCTCGCCTACCTGGCCGGGCAGCCATCGCCGCGGGTGACCTTGTCAGCGGTGAGCCCGTCTGTCACGGTGACGCTGCGCCGCTTCATGCCCTTGGAGCCCGAGGGGCTGGCCGGGCCGGCGGCCTTGCCGCTGCCCTGGCTCAGGCCGTAACTGGCCTCCAGATAGCGCAGTGGGAAGGTGCGGTTGACCGGGCAGTAGATGATGGCGCCGCTCTGCTCGGACACGGCCTTGCGGCTGCCCACGTGGTACCGCACCAGGGCGGGCACGTGGTCGAAGCTCTCCTGCTCGAACAGGTACTGGATGTGGGTGTAGCTCTCGCCCGCCTTCACCACCACCTTGTTGATCTTGAAGTGCAAGGCCTGGTTGCGCCAGCGGCACGTGAGCACGTAGTCGCCCAGGCTGGTGAGTGAGTCTCGGATGAGGAAGTCACCGTTGCGCTGCACCAGGGTCTCGGAGACCTGCAGGAGGCAGGGCTCAGGCCAGGCCGGGTCGGGGACATGGGGACAGAGATAACTCGGGCTTGGGGGGCAGAAATGGGGACCTAGCTTCAGAGGGGGTGCCTCTGCCAGGGAGCCTGGGCCTGGGTCTAGGCACAGATGCTCAGAGGTGGGTGGATATAAGACCCTGGAGTAGAAGTCACGGGATATGGCATCTGAGGGAGGTGGGGGTTACGCCACCAGAGGCTCGGGGCTCAGATCTGCGCCTTCTCAGGGCTCCCACTGGACCCTTGTTTGTCCAAATGTGGAGTGTTTCAGGGCATCCCTGGGCCCTGGCACCTGAAAGCTGCTGTCTCTGCCTGGATTCTGCCCATCCACCTGGTGAATGCCTGTCCATTTCTCCAAAGCCTTCACCCAATGCCCCTTGCTGGGCACACTGTTCTTGCCCTCCTCCCACTGGGCTCTGTCTGTCAGTCCTCACCCTGGGCCCCAGCATCAAGGGAAACCATCAATTCCTCTACCATTTATCCCTGGTGCCTAGCACAGAGCCTGTCGGAGTTGGTGCTTGGCAAGAATACATAGCATGAGCAAAACAGGAAACAGGTGACCACCAACCCAAATCTGTGCCTCCATCTAGAAATTCAATTTTTCAAAAACTGAGAAGCCTAAGGACTGATACTCACGGGCCTGATGTATAGACCAGTAACAACAACTAAGAGAGATAGTCATCGTAATAATAACAAGAACAAAGGACGGTAACCACTGAGTTCACTGCCTATCAGACATCCTATTTAACACTTCACATGTATTATTTATGTCTCTAAAAATCTTCAAGGTAGTACTATCCTCTCTGTCATTTTACAGATGAGGAAACTGAGGCTCAGGCAGGTGAAGTGGCTGTTTGAGGCTACGTAGTCAGAACATGACAGAACAAGACCTCTTCCTAGTTCACTTTGATTGGATGCCCCACCCAAGGGGAGCATCCAATCTCTGATTGGGCCTGCTACACAAAGGGTCAAGGCCTTTCTGGGACAGGTGCAAGTGAGTCCCCAACTCGGGCTGACTCACCTCACGGGGGATGCGGCCATGGTACCAGGCATGGCTGCGGAGGTCTGTGCTGCTGAGTTTGAGTTCTTCTTCCAACTCCTTGTGCAGTTTCTCAGGCGATGAGTCCAGGATGTACTTCTCCTTGGAGAACTGGGCAGGAGACAGCAAGAGTTGGCATCCAATCTGAAACTCATTCCTCCTTCCCTCCCAACCGCCGCTTCCCCAGGTGGATTCCTCCCGTTCCCAGCCTCAGGTGCTGGGAGTGGTGTGGTGCATGCATCTGAAGAGGTACAACTCTATACCCCTGAATCACATAGTGTTGTAAGCCAATGTTACCGCAATAAAAGAATACAATTTTTAAAAAAGAAAAAAGGAGTCTCGGTTCCACCAAACAGTGCTTACTGTGTTCCAGGCCCTGTGCAATGAGCCAGCAGTAAATGCAATAAATAAGCCAGGCTCTGTCCTCCCAGAAGCTCCTGGTCTAAGAGGGAGGGAAGCTCCTGACAAAAGCAATACTAGCATTCGAGCAGATCGCGGTCAGCACCACAGTACTGGACAGCGGCAGAGTAGGGTGGCTTTTATAGATAGAAGAGAAAGTAGGTAAACTGGGAGTTGGCAGGAAGGAGGTGACAATAACAGAGCACACGTGCACCAGGAATATCTTCACTGAGGGAGGGAGGATTTCTACAGGTGGACCTGGAGGTAAGGCTGCAGGTGGCCAAGCAAAGTATAGACAAAACCATGGAGCTGAATGGCGATACGTTCTGAGATGGTGGATTATACAGTGGAAGGGTGGGGGAGGCAGCTATAACCAAGGACACGGAGGCCCCTACAAGACATCTGCCATGTCCTTTACAGTTCCGAAGGCCCTTTTTCCCTCACCATCTCAAGCAATCCCTGTCAACCAAGGAAACCGTGGCCCAGCAGGGAAGTCCAAGGTCACTCACTAGAGATAATGTTCGGTCACCTCACCCAAGGGGAGAATCCTGATCTGGTTACTGTGGCCTGGGCTTTGAGGCCGACAGAACCCCAGGGACCCTAAGGGAAGGGGGAGGATGGGCCCTGCTGCCAGGTCTGCCCCACCTTGGAGCCCAGCCCAGTCCCAGCTGTGCCATGTGAGTCCCTCTGCCTGGGTGACTTCTGTCAATGGATATGGAGGCAGGTAAGAAACTGCCTTCCCACATTGTGAGGATGAAGGGGGACAGCACACAGATGTCCTCGTCACCGCGAAGTCACGTGACATTGCTTCCCCTCCCTTCCCCCAACTCCAGGCCCCAAAGATAGCTGCTTTCTGACAGCAATCCCAGAACGTGCCAGAAGGTGGGACAGATGAAGGGGCACTACCTGGCCTGGCTCAGCTCAGGACAGCTGCTCCTGTCCTCTCCTTGGCTCCTCAGACTTTGCACAGACTCAGAGCCACTCGAGACACCCTCATCTCCGGCTTCTGAGAGAGCTAGGGCCTCTGACTCCAACCAGCCAAGCCCTCACTCTGGGACAGGTCCTCTGTCAGGGGCCAAGACCCTAAGGTCTTCAGATCAGATGACCTCTGCCCTGGGAGCCACGCAGACACTGCCACGAAACTGCAGGTTTTCTGAAGGGTCAAAGACGCACAGAGAGTCCCTAATTTAGCCAAGGAATGGAACCCCTAAAGGCTGATGTTTCCACTGAGGCCTGAAGAAGGGCTGGGTGGGTGCAGTGGGGAGGGAAGGGAGGGGTGGGAGGAAGGCTTTGTCACAAAGCCAGGCCCTTCTGCAGAATCAAGGCCCTGGGGGAGGAAGGGGCTGGGGGGCAGAGCTGTGAGGCTGCCTTGGGGAGCTGGGCTATGCCATGAGGCTTTAGTTGAGCCACAGAGGGTTGATAGGTGTTGGGGGCAGCCTGGAGCCCAGTGCCGAGTGGAAGGTGGCCTGGTGGCAGTGGCATGATAGGGAAGGGACTTGGGGGAAGGGTGTTTAGAGAGCAATTGACTCGGCTTGGGAGACGAGGGCGGAGGTGTCAGAGGACTCCAGGCTGAGGGCACAGTGCTCTGAGGCGGGCAAGCCACCAGCAGGTTGGGCTTTTAGATGGGTCCTTGGAAATCTGGGCTTCGAAAGGCTGTGACAGAGGTGAGGCAAGGGGTGTGTGCAGGTGCTCAGAGAAAGGCCGGGGTGGAGGTTTCAGATAACTTGATCCGTGGGAAGGGCAGGAAGGGCTGGGGCTGGGCTGAAGCTTGGAGCTTCCCAGATCACCTGCACTTCTCCGTGGGTTGCCTGTTCTTTGGGGTGCCTGGCCTGCCTCCCTCTCACCCCCTGGCCTCCCTCCTTGTGCCGCATCATACACTGGAGAGGGAAGAGCGGAAATCGCAGGGGAAAAGGACTCCAGTACCCCAGCTTCTGGGGTCCTTCTCAACTGACAGTGTGTGCGTGAGAACCAGCCCACCGTTGCTGCAAGAGTGACACAGGAAGGGGGTGTTTGTGTGGCGAAGAGCCTGCCACTGTGTGACCTTGAGCCAGTCACTTTCCCTCTTTGGGTCTCCTCTGTAAAAGGAAGGAGGGGGTTGGGAGACTGGGTTCCACTTTTCAAATCATAATCAATGACCAGAGAGAATCTAGGGGACCAACTTGGCTCGCACACCTGAGGTTGGGGAGCCCTAGGGTCTATGTGCCCTCCTCCTCACCCCAATCTAGGGGTCCCCCGTTCCCAAGAGTGGGGGGGTGGGGAGATTGGAGGTGCAAATGCAGCATCCCTGCGCTCCGCGCACTGCTATTGGCCAGAGATGATCTCACCGCCTCCCGGCCTGCGCGTGCCTGATTGGCCGGCGCGGGGATGCTGCGCCCGCCGCCGGCGGGGCTGTCATTCAGGCGGGCTGCGAGCGCGTGTGAGCCTGGGGGAGCACAGAGGTGACGCGCCGGAGTCCCCCAGGGGGCTCAGGAGGCAAAAGCTGCGGAGACCCCAGGCAAGGTCTTAACCCTTTCCCACCAGCCGGCGCACAAGCCCCTCAAGCCCCCTTCTGGCCCGCAAGCCCAAGTAAAACCGTGCCCCGAGGATGCTCCGCAGAGAGGCGGGGTCCGGGTCTCCCCCTCCACCCCCTTCCGTTTAACCCTCTCACTGCCACGACGACGTCCCTCACTGGCCGGCCAGCTGGGCTGGGAGACCTGCGCCCCAGGCATGCCTGAGTCCACCCGGCTGGGGGCCGGGTGCTCGGGTCTCAGCGCCGGCACCCGCAGCATCCCCTCAGCTTCCCTTCCCTCACTCAGCCATCGCACCCCAACTCAGCGTCCCCGGTACAATGGGGAGCCAGGCTGCCCAGGTCAGCCGGTGGGGCGAGAGGGCTGCAGGAGGACCTGCAGGACTCCGGAGACCCCACGTCCCAGTCCCTAATGTGCCACCTCCGCAGCCCCGGGAAAGGCAGCGCCAGAGCGGCAGCCCCGCAGCCCCAAGTCCCTGGAGTGGCAGCTGGACTCACCCCGCGGAGCGTCGGGGTGCCCAGAGGTGAGGCTGGGGTGACCCGCCCCCTCCCACAGCCCGCGGCCCGCGGCCCCTGCCCGGCACCAGGATGCTGCGGGTCTCCGGCTCCCGAGCGTGGGGAGAGTGGCCGGGGAGCCCAGAGCAGCGCGCCTGGCGGGGGCCGAGGCTCCCCCTCACCTGCACCTGCACGAAGGAGCCGCGGTAGAAGCAGCAGGCAGCGGCCGACAGGGCACTCCACAGGCTGCACCGCTCAGTCATGGTGGGCTCGGGCGGCCCGGGCCGGACCGTGCAGGGGACGGCGGTCAGCGGGG